CCTCGGGGACTTAGTTTTCCCATCTGTGTAGTGAGGTATCATCACCTTTCTAGTTTTATCATAAGGTTTAGGGATAATGTTTGCAAAGTGCCTGGCACAGGGCCTGGTGGAGATTGGTGACTGGTAGACAGTTTTGAGACCGAAGATTCTGTCTGCTTGGCTCTGTAAAGCACTGAAATGCTCTGGAAATTCTGACTGGTTGCCATCCAACCTGCACATTGAAAATAAGGCACCCCTAGACCCCCCTCATGCTTATGCTCCTCTGGTCTCTCTGAGTTTCTAAACTCTTTCTGGATGCCGTACGGGAACACCAGGCTGGCTTCTGTCCCTGGTCCTGGGGCCACAGACTCAGGACCCCGTCCAAACCCCTTCCTTCTGCTCCACTGCAGACCTGGGTATGGGAATAAAGAGAGACAGTATCAAAGTGCAACCCACGGGGAGAGTAATCTCCCAGGAAGAGGAGTACGGGGCGGGTGGTGAGAAGGGGAAAGAAAAGGGATCAAATGCCGGGGGTGGGAGGAGCAAGGGGAGCCGGAGAAGTGGTCAGAGATAGTGCAGAAAGGAGGAAAGAACCCTAGCGGCTGAGGCCGCCTGGCCTGCAGAGCGGTGGGTCCCACACGGGCTACTTTGGGGCTGCTTGGAAGCCCGGTGCCCTGAGGGCTGTGCACACACCGCATGGACACTAGGTGGCGCCGTGGCCCGTTCTAACAGCCACTCCTTTTCTCCCCGCGGTTTCTTTATTAAAGAGACATGAGTGTGCGCTGGGTCCCGCCAGTGCCCTGTTTATTAACAGATGTGAACACCAGAGAGGGATACCCAAAGCATACAGGGCTACCACAGCCGAGGCAGGGCTACCTTCTTGCCCACCGGGTCCGGCCCTCCAGCACCGCCCACTTTTCAGTCTTGCCCGCGGTGAAGTCACCTTCCTTGGTTTCCCCATCCTTTTTGTCCCCGGTTCCGCCGCCACCCGCATTCTCCTTCCACCTGCAGCCACAAAGATGTGTTTCAGTATGCGCTGAATCAAGTCACTCTCCCGTTAACACCTCCTCAGTGGCTCTAAATTACTCTTTCCCCCCGTACGTTCATTTCAGCCTGGCCCGCGGGGATTCACCCTGAGCCTATCTGAACTTGCCGTTTGGGTTTGCTCTGATAAAGTTTGTCGTACTGTATGTATCACCTCCACCCACCAGTTTGCTCCGATTCCCTGCTCCTCCCCGAGCCTCTAACCACCTCTTTGGTCTCAGGCTGACTTCCCTGACCTCCCCCCATGACATGCTCCATGCTCTGTGCTCTGACGCCTGCATTGTCTTGTTCACGCCTTTCTTATCTTTCCCCCGCCTAGGCTGAACTCCAGGGCAGTAGGGCAGGGTCCGTTTTGTTTGCAGCCTGTCCGTTAGGGTTCAGAAATCTTTCAGGACTAGGGGAAGGGGTGGGCAGTCTCAGTTCCAATTACGCTGTCCAGTTAGCAGGTCAAATATCCTGATTTTGACTTTGAACAGTATAATCATCATACTCATTGCTTTACAGACTTATTCCCAGTGACCTATTTTGTGTTTTTTTAAAAGTATTTATACCGAGACATTTGGAGTATCTTTCAGAAGGCGTTCTCCTGACCGCTTGCATCTCAGCCTGCAGCTGCTTCAGAGTCTCTCCAGAATTTTCCCCAGACCTCTGTCCATAAAGTGCCAGTCCTGATTTTCTTCCCCTCTCGGCTCATCCCACCCCCTGCTCACATCCTGTACTGAACATTGATTTAGCTTCTCTCGTCAGGACGTTGGCACAATTGGGCTGATGATTGAGGAGAGTCTGGCCTGGAGCAAGGAGCCAGATTCAAAAACAACAGCCTTGTTTCTGTCAGATGCCAAAACTTCCTGCAGAAACAAAGGACTATTCAATTTCTAGAGTTCAATTTTGAATACCCCTGAAAAAAATGTAACAGCATTTTAAATATCATTTAACATTGAGATATGAAATAGGAGAAATGCTTACTTAGATCATTTTTCATTTCTTTAAGCCTTTTTGAAGTCTCTGTGTCAGTAAACAGTAGAGGACCTCCTTGGTGTAACAACCTTGCGTGTAAGCAGCCCTCCCACTGGCCTCTGCACTGGGGAAATCCCAAACCTCTGTTAATACCCACTGATGCAGCTTTGTTGCAAGAGAGAAAAGAGAAGGAAACACTCTGAAGTGCTGGTCCTGTAAACCAACAGCTCAATGTTGCTGTGCCCACAGTGACGCATGGCGGGGCACCCGTCCACCCCTCAGCTTTGTGGGGGCCCCCATGCTGTTGTCGTTGTCTGGCTCAAGCGTCTTTTGGCCCCCAGCTCTGGGAGAGCTCTGACCAGGCCAGAACAAAGGCCAGGCTGGGTCTGCCCTGCTCCAAACCCAGCCCCACATTCTCCAAAACTCGGAACTGTGATTGTTTTATTTTTAAACACCCTAAAATATACCAGCTCCTAGAATACGGAAGTGAGACTGACAGTGAGGGGCCCTTCTGCCTACCCCATCCTGCGGCTCTGCCTAACCATTCTGGCAGACCAGGCTGTTCTGAACATCATTTGTTCAAATGTTGAAAACAGTTGATGCTCTGCCCATGGTTCTGAACAGATGCTCTTGGCTGTATCTTAGTACTCAGCAGGGCTGCTCTAGAGATACTGCCCTGTGGCTCCTGGCACCAGCTCCTCTCCTGCTCTGCCAGCATGGTACACGTGAACCCTGATGCTCAACAGCAAAGCAAGAGGTCGACCAGATGGTTCCTCATTCCTGGTCCGGCTCCCAGGTGATGAGCGGCTGTGTTGGGAGAGTAGGAGAGGTTAGTAAGAGGAGAGAGGGTCTGTCCCTCTAACGTCTCAGCTCACCCCCTGGGATCACAGTGCGCGCTGCGTTCTTAAATTCAGGTCAGGTTTGAAGAAAAAAGGGACAGAGATGAGCCACAGGCAAAAGACGGGGAGGAAAAGGCCACTGTGGTGACAGTCCACCCAACCTTTCGTTTTAGGACAAGACTCTTGGTTTACACTGGAATCTAGTTTCCCTTGTTTGGAGTGTGTTTGTGTGTGCGAGTATTTTGAATCTCACTCGCTTTTCATGCTGAATGTCACCCTGCAAGAGGCAGCAGCTCCAGAACCAAGCCTCCGAGTCAGAAGCTATTTTGTCCACTGTCATTTTAAAGACAGGGCTGCCCCGTTCAAAATGATGGGATCTTTAGTATTGCCATCTTTAAAACAATAATCTTTATCAAGTAAACAATGTATAGACAAAAAAAAAAGAAGAAAGAAAAGAAAAGCAGAGCCATGTGTAGATAAAATAGAGACATATTATCTTGGTTTCCAACTTCCATATAATAAACTCCCTGAGACTGCCTTAAATACAGAACATAGAGCCTTTGAGGCAGGAGCCCCCTGTAGCAGTCTGAAACCCCAACTTATGCCATAAGGCCTTTGAAAAGATAGGGGACACAGATAAGTGTCTATTTTAGAACTTCAGCAATAAGTTGGTTTTCCATAATGTATGGATATGTCTACAGTCATTGAACAGACTCGATAAGCTTTTGACACATCCTTTATCATTTAAATCACTAAGACAATTATATATAGAAAAAATGACTTTTCATTTCTTGCTTTAGTTACCTGTATTCCCTTCCTTAGCATAAAAGAGTCCCTTAACCCAGCCTCTACACCCAAGAGTTCTCCATTATATTCAATCTTAAACCATCCGCTGCCCATCTTTAAATGCCATCAAAGATATCAAATAAAATCAAACGTATTTATGGAATGCCTACAGTTGGCAAGGTCTTCTTATGAGTGCTGTAGATGGAATAAAGTGTTTAAAATTCTATCACTTAGAGAGTTTATAACTTAATTACAGATGTGCTCTCAAATTCTCACTGCTTTTGGACTAATAGCTCAAAAACAGCCCTACCCTGAATGAGTCAGCCTGATAGGGCAGCTTGAGATGCTATGAGGAACAGTCCAAGTGAATATACTTTTGAGTTTGACTGTTGTTTTTTTTTTAAAAATTGTTTGTTGTCGAGGGGGAGGAAATTAGGTGTATTTTATTCATTTTTAATGGAGGTGCTGGGGATTGAACCCAGGACCCTGTGCATGGCAGGTATGTACTCCAGCACTGAGCTCTACCCTCCCCGCTGACTACTGTCCTTAATCAGGCTTAACAAGCCCTCACTGCGCACTCTCTGTCCTTACTTGCCTATCACCATCTGGTAACTTGGCGCAGTCTTTCATATCAAGGACCTAATCAACATTTGAAATAAATTCATTGTCTATAACATCATTTTTCTTGAAACTAATTTTCTTTGATAAGTCAAAAAAAAAAAAAAGCCAGAGAACAGGGTGGAAATATATTGCTCCTTTAGAAGTTAGAAATTTTCAGTAAAAATTACTGCTGTTGTGACAGATCTACCAAATAGTCGGTTTCTGAATGTTTACATTTTCTGAAAATTCACCGTTAACATTTCCAGCTACACAAAAGTTGTAATGGCGTCGTCTGCCCAGTTGTGGATGGCTGCCTGACACCAGAGCAGACCGTGACATCTGACTCCTTCCAGACAGAAGGAAATGTCTAAACTTGTTCTTTCTACGTATTTTACTGACACAGCTCACTGGGGAAAGCCGCTTTTAAAAAAACACAACTGAATTTCCTAGCACGTCATTTACTCTTCTTTAACCACGGCCCGCCAACGTGGCTGCCGTTTCTGTCTGCCAGTGGGCTGAAATTTAATATTGGTAGTTAGTCAAATCTAATCATTTCGATAATGAAAGTCAAACAACCAGGACTGTAATTTCCTTTGGGGGGAACATTAATTTCTTGTCAATAACATTTGAGCGTGTGCGTTAATGAATGGTTCTCCTTCCCAGTTTATGTTGGTCTTATGTTGCCTGTCGGTGGTAGGTAAATACAAATACCTTGTTCTGCGAACACAAATCCGGGCTAAGATGGCCTTGGGACATAGGAGAGGAAAAGACTGAGGAGGCTGGGCCAGTGCTGGGTCCTGGACCTGCTACTCCTGTTGTCTGCTCTCTAGTCTGAGAGCCAGGGGCGAGGTCATCTGCGTGGCCTTCGCGGAGCGTGAGCGCCTGGGATGAGGATGTAGGTCCCATGGGCAGCAAACTCAGAGTCCTTTGTATGAGGAACGCATTGTGTCACCATGTGTGTGAATGGGAGGCGGACCTGGGTATCACACAGCCCTGCTCCGTACACACGTCTTCTAACAGCTGACCTCGTTCTAAGGGGACTTCTGCTACATCACGGAGCTAGTCCCTCCCTTCTTTCTCAATGGATTAACTGAAGCATCCCCAGGAAAGGATGAAAAAATAACTCACACTTGGATGTTACATATCTGCCAAGGAGAATAAACCCCATTTCTAAATCCTCCCAGGACACTGGTCTGAAAGGTTCGTCTTAGACAGAAATAAGGCAAATTCAACAGTCCGTCTGACATCAAGTCCCAAAGCAGTGGGCTCAGAATGAGGTTAAAACAAAGTGGTCGTTGGTTACAGAAATCTTCCAATAACCCAGGGAGACTAGGGTGTCACCATGGCTTTTTTCATTTTACAGCGAAGCACACGTCTGCCACACAAACCAGATTGATTGATACCGGTCAAGAGGTCATAACTCAATAAAAGCAGCCCAAAAAGCTGGTCTGAAAATTTATTTTAATTAATGGGTCCAACAAATGATGAGACCCCTCCCCCCCGCCCCCTCATTTGTGGGAAGACATGGCCAATGCCTTATTAGTACATGTTGGGGAGTTTTTTAAAAAACCAGCGTGACACAGAAGCAGCAGTGCAGAAGGCAAGGGTGATGCTGTTCAGAAGATCCCCATTTATAGCTTTGCCTAAAAACATGAGACCCGTCATCAGGAGCTATGCTTCCAAGTCCCCGAAACATTTTTCCAAGGCCAGCCGAGATTTCTGGCGAGAACAAGCTCTTGGTGGGAGAAAACAAAAAACTAAAACTCACTGACATTTTTCTGTGGCTCCAAGTTCCAGTGAGAAGTGTGTTAAAAGACAGAACATGTCTAAGTCATTCTAAGTTGCCTCAAAACCAGCGATGACATCCACGTAATAGGATTTGCCTGTGTGCCTACAAAGCTGTCCAAAATCAGAAATGTGATGGTGGAATGAATCCTGGTTATTGGAGACCAATCTTGTGACACCCGAGGCTCCTGGAGGTCTGTTCAAGAAGGGCGGCTGGGCTGGGCTGGGCTGGGCTGGGGTAAGGGAGAAACAACCCTGAAGCAAAGAAGTAACTTCTAACAAAAATTGCCAAAGTGCTCAAAGTTCTCAAAGACGGTCTCTGGTCAACTCTGACTGGCTGGTGGACTCCATAAAAGGTCTTTGAAAAACATACACCTTGCTATTCATTTAGGGCACTCACTGCCTGTGTGTAATTTGACGTTGAAAGCAACGTAAAGATGCAAAAATGACACATAGAGGAGGAGGGGTGGGATGGGGCCGGGCTTGAGACCTGCTGAAAGCTGAGAAAATGCTGGACTGGCCACTTCCCAGCCGCCATGCAAGGCAGGGGAACACGGGTCCACACACACCTGTGAGATGCGTGTGACACCGGGAAAGCTGTCTTGGAGTGTTAGACCCTGGCTGCCTCCTGTCTTTTTAAATAAATATTCGGGCTTCTCTAACTAGCCCCTGAGGGATGAGGGGTGGATAAGGGGGCGGAGGTGTGTGGGGCAGGCCTGGCTCTACCTGAACCACAGCACAGCCGTGGACCACCTTCCTGAGTCTCCATTTTCAAAGCTAAGTCTCACCCTTTAACTGGTAAGAATTTTAAAGCATTTTCTCCTAAACAAACAGTATCTTCTGGAGGAGAAAACAAAATCCACAGTAAATTTTAAGAAAAGACATAAAACTAGAGAAATCCTATTTGGCTACCTACACCTGCTGCGCTGAGCCCGACCCCAGAAGCCTGGAGGAGCAGCCCCGGGCTGGGAGTCAGAGCTGCACCGGGGCCACAGGGAAGTGAGAACTGAGAGAGCGGGAGGCAGCAGCGGTCAGGGAGCTGGAGTAGAGACAGCAGAGAGGGAGCAGGGGAGCGGCAGAAACCAGGCCCCTTCATCCTCCATCCCTTGCTACTGGTACCCACGGTGAGGTCCTGCCTCGGCCGTGGCATCCAAGAAGGACATGTTAGCCAGACTTGTAAACTTATGTTCTTAAAAAAAAAAAGCACTCAAATTAACTAGACTGTAAGAGTTCCTCAAAAGGTTTTATTCCTTTTTTGTGTGTGTGGCCAGCTCACTGCCTGGCACACACCGCCAAGTAGGCATTCAAAAATATATATTTTCAAATAGGCAATTTATAACACCAGGAGGACTTCATTTCAGTGTTTCAGAAAACATGATTATTCTTAGAAAGAGTTTATTCCTCTACGACTCTGGTAACAGAGGTTCTGTCCTAATTTTCATAAGCCACCTCAGACAGACAGTGGAATAAGTTGAATTAACATTTAAGGGTTTGGAAAGTACAAAACTCTTGAGGGGAAATCCAAGAGTTGTCTTAACTGCAGGGAAGACCGTGGCGTCTGCAGCCCAGGGCATCTTCGCAATACTCTAGAGGACGCAGAAAATGTCTTTGTGTCCCTCCTCGGCCAGGGACCTGCAGGACAGCTTCCCTGCAAGTCTTGATTCCTGCAAGTCTTCACGCAGGAGGCAGACCAACAGAGAGGACCGGGAACTCCTCCCACCCGCCCCGGCCTCACAGCAGCAGGGCCAAACCTAACACCAGTGGTTGAGCTACTGAGCACTTCATCCTCAAAGTGCCTCCGCAATCTGTCCCACCGAACACACTAAGAGAGAACCAGCATCAGGCATTCGGGGCTGTCATCAAAGGAGTGACCTCCCTTCTCTTTCCACTTAATTACCTGGGATTCTGTGTGCCGTCGACATGAACAGACTTTTTACCAATTAAATAACTTTCTTAAAATATAATAAAACATCATTTTACACAATTCTCTCTGGAAAGTCTTCCGGATCCTCAAAATTAACTTACAAAATTTTATGCAAAAACACTTACTTCAAATAAATAGGGGAAAAAAGTGGGAGAGGCTGGACTTTTTCTGTTGATTTGTTTTTTAAATTAAAAGTTAAAAACACCAGCTGCACTTCAAAGTACTCGCGGGATGAAATGCATCTAGAAGGCTGTGAGAAACAGCCCTCCGGGTCAGAGCTGCATTTTCAAGGGAGGTTTCCTGGGTTCAGAATTCACAATGGATGCCTCCGCTGAGATCCGGCACCACGCCCTCTCTGACCAGCTGCAGGAGGAACCTGGTCTCCGTCGTCACGTTGTGCATGGTCTGAAAGTTCATGGCGGCCATGCAGAGATTGTCAAAGTAGTGCAAAGGTGTTCTGGGCTGGGTGAGGTCATAGCCAAAGCCTGCCAAACTGACTTCGTCACACAGATGCGTGGCTAAGACAACAGCCATGACACCTATCGTGGGGACATTCTGGAAAGGAGAAAAGACCAAAAAGGGTTGAGCACAAGTCACTGCTTACCACGCGCCCCACGTGCCATGCAAAGCAATGATGGCTGCCTTGGGGGCTGTGGTTTTACACCACACAATGTCACACATCACAGAATTCCAGCCAAGTCAGGAATCTAGCCTCTGAAACCTAGTGTCGTGTGACTTCTTTTAACACACCAGCAAGACGCAGCCTGGCAGGTCCTCCTGCGCCGAGCTGAAAGGTGTTCTTTCTAAAGCTTCTACCCACCGGTCCTACGTATGATGACCGTGATAGCGAAACTCGCCCATTTCCTCTCTCACGTGACAAACGTCCACAAGATCTGCTCCGGGACAAGTGGCCACAGACCTTTTCGGGACACGGTTTTGGGGCCCGACCCTTCCTGGCTGGCCCCTGTTCAGGCTCTGGCTGAGAACCGAGCAGACTCAGCTCCCGCGGGTGAAGACTGTCCACCGCTTACCTGCAGCCTAAAGACCCCACCTGCCTTTCTGGCACATAACATGTCCAGGCCATGTGCAACACACAGCTGCTCAGCCAGTTTCTGCTCACTCTCTGCTCAGGGAAGTGTATTTTCAGGCCCAAACTAGGGGCTTTCACATTTGTTTTTTCCAAAATGTACCCTTATTGACTTTGGCCTAGAATGCCAAATGTCCAAACTCTCTTTCTCTGTAAAGTGGACCGACAGTGAAGCCTTCAGAGTTCCTGGATTAAGGAACACCCACTGAACGCACCACTCATTAAAACCTGCTCCCTGCTCCCCAGTGCATCGCTTCTACTTCTCAAAGCCAACCTCCCTTGTTAAAAAGGAACTCAACAGTCATTCTGCGTGTTTGGAAATAGACACAGAGTCTCCAGACCCTAAGGCAGGGCTCCGTCTTCTCCACTGTGGCCAGCCCAGCGCCCAGCGTGGGGACAGCCCGTCAGTGTTTGCGGAGGAGTGTAGCGGGGTAATTGTATGGCGAGAAACTCAGGAACTATTAAAAACCACCCAGAACACACCCCCTAAGATCCCCCTTCATCATCCAACAGTCTTCTCTCTCTGCGGGGAGGGCATACGCGTGAGGAAGCTTCTGCGCATGTAGTTTTACATCAGACATCATCTTTCGAGTTACTGTTTTTATCCAAAGGAAAAATACCATTTGACAGTAATAAAAATAAGCAAATATTCAATTCAAATGACAAAGAAATGGATTATAAAGTAGGAAGCAAACGTCTCCTGCAGACTCACTCCCCGGAGAAGAGCATTCTCCATGGCTGGGTGTTTCTTTCCAAGCTTTTCCTTCATATCTGTCTATACATTTTTATTCTTTTAACAAAAATGGAATTATACAAATGTTCTTTAACTTGATTTTTTTGCTTTAATATATTGTGGAGGTGTTTTCCTATCCATTAATTTTTTTTTCATCCTTAACAGTCACACAATATTGCATCAACGATGCCATAATATGTTTAAACAATCCTCTAACGATGAATGATTAGGCTGTTTTTAGTCCTTTATTAATGCGATGGGACCACCTTACAGAAGCCGTGCAAATTTTCTCTGACTTCCTTATAATAAAATGTTTAGAGTCAAACGGCTGGGTCAAAGAATCATTTCTAAAATTGATATATATTGCCAAATTACCATCCAGAAAAGGGGCCAACTTATAATTCTACCCACATTCCTGCCAAACAAGGACATGATCAAGCTTTTAAATCTGTGCTAAGAAAAAACAGGCAAAAAATGTCATCGTGGCTCTAATTCACTTTTACTTGATTACTGGAGAAGTTGAACACTTAATCATGTGTTCCTTGGCTGCATTAATTTCCTCTGTGAAATGTCTGGTCTTATCCTTTCCCCATTTTTTACTGGCTCATCTTTTTCTTTTTCATTTAGTAAGATCTCTTCATGCTTTGAGAGTATTTGCTTTGTTTTATACATGATACATTTCCTCCCACTAACTTTGTTTCTGATACCTTCTGCCATTCAGCAGTTTCATCTTTTATGCAATTAAATCTGCCCATTTTTTAAAAGGCTACTTTTTAAATAAAATCGACCTGCAAACCAACAAATGAGCATTTGCCTGTGTTTAAAACAAATCCTATGAAATTTAATAAAGAAACAGGACAGTTTAAAAAATACAGAAATCTAAAGATATTGAAAGATACTCAAGTATATTTACAGTGAAACCTCTTATAACTTAGTTTAAGAATCTTGCCAAAGTATGTTTAAGTCTTCAAAAAATTAAATGCTTTGTTAAAAGTGATGCTAACAGGTTACACGTTATTAGCCCACGTTCTGGGGGACCTCACGTGCTTCGTGTGGGAGAGAGAAGCTAAGGCCAGTCACAGACCTGACAGTCACTGGCGAGGGGGAGGGCTGCTCGCCTCTGAGAGGGAACATGTACCACTGGTCCTGGACAGGCTTCTGCAATGGGCAGAAACAACACGGCCCGTGAGGGCTCCCCAAGGATGGAGAGGCCAGAGCCCGGAGGAAAATGGCGGCCTGCGAAGGGAGCAGCTTCTACTACGTGAAGCGTTTCCCTCGAGCTGGGAACTTTCACCCGAGCCGGGTATCCAAGCCTGAGGCTGCAGCCAGAGTTGGATTCAGCTCTTACTGATCACAGTGAAGAGCTAGGTGCTTGTTTTCAAGGAGACTATTTAGGTATGTGTTTTCCTTAATGACCACAGAATTCCTCCTTTAAAATTTACAGAGTGGGATTAAAGAATCTTTTCAATTAGAATTTGATTCAAAGGGCAAATAGGAGCACCTGCTAATCTGCCTGTTGGTTGAGGACATCTGAGTCCAGCTCAGTGTTTGCAAATCGCCTCCTGGGCCAGCCCTACCTCCTAGGTGGTACCTCAGGCCCCCAGTGTGGGTAGCAGCCCCCACAATTCAAATTCCTAGCTTTCCTTTAGATATAAAGGTTTTGCTTAAAATTTTGTTTAAAAATGATCTCCACTGCTTTTTCATAAAGACACAGGTTTAGCTATTCAGATCATGAAGAAACACGTAATAAAGGCATCTGCCCGGGTAGTAACACAGGCTAACTGCAGGTAAAGAGTCAACTGCAGTGAGCAGCCTCCAACACAGAGGTTCTGAAATCAGCCTGCAAAATCCAATCACCCAGGGAGCCTTCAAAGCCCCAACGTACAGACCACAGCACAGATTCAATCAGAATATCTGGGGTGGGACCCAAGCATCAGCTGGAAAGTACTGCTCTAGAGGACTGGCTATTCACCGTCACCTATAAAGTGAGGACAAGGGTCAATTTTCACCTAAGGGGCCTGCAGAGTTACAATGGAAAGAACTTTTCTGACCACCGAAGTGCCTTTCAGTGTCTTGAAGCTAATGATGTGGAGTCCTGGAGTAAGGAGACCTTAAATAATATCTCAGCGACCTAAGTGCTAACGTGCTGACGATACTAAAGAGATGAGGCATGGTGGGGTGGAAGGGGGGTGGGGGGTGGGGAAAGCCAATTAAACAGTGAGGAGCCCTGAAGTAGAGTGACAAAGGGGGAAACACACATGGAACATCTGATCAAAGACTAGGTTTCTCCACCGGAAGATGCTTCCTGGCTTATAGCTAAGCCTAAGTGAAAGTTGTACAAATGTGTCCTTTCCAACATAGAAGAGAACAGTCAACTTTCAGTAGGAACAGAAATACCTTATCTCGGCCCCAGAACCTTGACTGAGGCTCTGAGTACTGAAGGATGTCAAAGGCAGTCTCTTTGATAATAACTGGATTCAAAATCCTGAAATGTTTTGGCTGTAGTGGGATTTTTTCCGCCACCTGCTTCCAAAAGAAGAGTCGCACCCAAAAAGGCTAAGGAAAGAAAGCAAGCAATCATTAGGGGTACTGAATAGAGTCACCTTCTCAGTGGAGGGTGAGGATGCATCCCCTGCCGGCCGGGCCAATGGCCGTGGGTGTGACCTCGTGTGGGTTCGTACGCTGCGTTCTGCAGCAAAGTCACCCATCGCTGCAAACCCAGGACCCCATCTCAGACAAGCAGCTCTAAGGATCTGATTTGTGAAGGTGGCTCTGGACAAGGACAGGAACTGCAGAAGCAGCTCTTGTTGGTTTGGGGAAGAAATTCCTCAGGGAATGACCTCAGATAGTGAGGCTTTTTAGGATCCAAAGCCACCATTTTGCCCAGGAAAGACCAAGCAAGTACCTCCACTTCAAGGCCATTAAGTGCTATGCACACCCTGCTCTGATCAGGTCCTCAGCCTGCACCCTCTCTCCACTTACTGCGTTTCCTAGTCCCCTGAAGCCTCTTGGTAACTGACTGCAAGTCATTCCACAGGGCTTCCTCTTTCGCCTGGAACTACCCCCAACAGAAAATCCCGAAGACCACAATGGCCTGTTCAGAATCAGGCTTGGGAGAAACAAATTCTCTATCACAGTGAGGCTCATGTGAGACGTTTGACACGTTGCAGTAATTTTACAGCCAGCTAGGTTGTTCAGGTGAATATAAATGCACACATACTCAACAGTTGTGTTCTGAAATTTGTTTCAACTCATTGGGTGGGGCTATAAAGTAAGGCAATTGATTGTTATAAAGACAAACATAAGGAATGTGACCAAGTAAAGGCCATCTCCTCCACATCTGCCTCTCTGGAACGCTGTGAATTGACTCCAGCAAGAACACCACCAATCAAAGCATTTTTGGAGAATCTCATCGAGACTACTCAGAGAGTTTATGTATATTCTTTTGAATATCCTCAATAATGGTTTATATTCATTCATATAAATCTAATTTCTGGCAATAGTCAACAGCCATGTTAAGTTCAAGTCTGGTGAATTAAGGTGGGTGATCAACTTCTCTAAGGGCAATTTTGGTCCCAAATTTGTTATTTCCATTAAGTTACGATCACAGTTTCCACCTGTGGTTCAATCAAGTTCTGGACGCAAGATTTCCTGGGGGAAATTCTAGAATTAGAATTGGATCACTTTTTATGAAGCCACGTTTGATAACTGAATTTCTGGTGCTTACCAGGGTTTCATTTTTGACCATCGCCTGAAGCCAGTTGAAGTCAACACTCTTAAATAAAACAGCAACAAACAAGTCATTGGAATAATATTCAAGGTCAGACAGTGGTGCACCCTCTGGATAAGTCATCCTTATAGTAGTTTTATTGCCCACGTGCTCGGAATATCCTTCAACTGGTGCACTGTTTAACCTATTCAAATAAACAAGACAAAGATAAACTGACTAGTAAGCCATTAACCAACCACTCTATCACATCATGCAAAATTCCTGCATCGCGTTGTCCACGCTTTTTTAGGACTGGGAACCAGTGTGTGGTTGGGGGTCGGCTGTCCCTCCCAGCCGCCTCGCCATCCCTCCCTTCTGCCCTTTCCAGGTGCTTGAAGAATGCAGTTTTTGGTCCACTAGGGACGCCCATATCTGATCTCTGAATGACGAGCAATTCCACCTAGTCCTGCCATTTTAAGCCAATCCAAACATACCACACTGGGAGCCTCCTCTGGGCACTTATAATGTTTCCTTGAGAGCTTCCCATTGTGCTTGGATGTTAGTGGTTCTTGCCAGAATTTCAAAAAAGTAATCAGAAAGAAAACCTAGAAACCAGGGCAGGGTAGACACAAGCCACAGTTACATGGACAGAGGTGGGACCCAGGAGGGCACTGGGCCCGAGTGCAACCTGGCCTGAAATTAAAGCAGGAATTTGGGGCACTTACTTAACTGTTAGATCCAGGAAGGCTTTGCCAGGGTGGTTGCTTTGGGGAAAAATGCTAAGAATTCTTCCTGAAGCAATACCACTCACCCAGTTACACAGTTCTGAAATCTCAAAAGCAGTCTGTTTGGTCCTTTCCCTGTATTATGTTTCCTTTCCATTCCACTGCCACTTCCTCTTCTAGACCTCAGATACCTAACCCCTGGATTATTAAAAGATATTATTAGATGTGACAGCTGAATGCAAGGCATGGGCCTGGACCAGTTATGACGTGCCCTGGCTGTAAGCTCTAAACCCAGGCTCTCGTCCGTGTTCTCTCCTGCCTTCAGCCAAACTCCTGTACCACTGCTGAACAAACTTAATTAGGACCCACCTTTCATCATGCTCTTGGTTCTGCACACCCTTACGATAGGGACCATTTACTAACAGGTATCAAAATCCTTAAAAACATTCAAATACCTTTAAAGCCAACAATTCCAAGAATTCTTGGAATTACATCCAAAGAAATAAGCAGAGATATACATAAAGACATGTATATTGAGAACACACGAAGCATTTCCACAACAGCAAAGAAACTGGGAACATTCTAAACATCCCCCCCGGGAGGAGGGCAGCTGAGGGACTTCTGATACCCTTGCTGAAGGGAATATTCAGCACATAGTAAAGTTAGCTTTCCAAAGAATATTTAATGATCTCAGAAACAGTTCAACGTATCAAGTCAAAAAAGGAAAACACTTTACAAGAATATAAATGCCCTCATCAGTCATGTGTATAGAACCAAAGTGGGAAAAATACAGCAAAATTAACAGGGGCTGGCTATTTGTGCTGTGAGTGGCATTTTTTTTCCTTTTCGTTTTCTGAATTTTTTTTTAATCTTCAAGAATGAA